GACTGCACCCATACGTGTATGGTCAGAAGTTTGATCTGGTCACAGACCACAAGGCATTGGAGGCAATTTACAGCCCTCGTTCAAAACCATGTGCACGAATCGAAAGGTGGGTCTTGAGATTACAGCCCTATGATTTTCGGGTGATTCATATACCCGGAACGCACAACATTGCAGATCCTTTGTCACGCCTGCTGGGGCCATCGGCCAAAGGTGCGACCCATGCACATGAAGCAGAGGAATATGTGAGATTCATAGCTGTTTGTGCGACACCAAGCGCCCTGACCACCAAGGAAGTTGAGCAGATCTCAGCAAATGATGTGGAATTACAGAGACTGAAAACTGCCGTTCAAACAGGTTGTTTTGACGACTGCCCTGCATACAGACATATTGCAGGTGAGCTATGTGTCATTGGCCAAATAATACTCAGAGGGACAAGAATTGTTTTGCCACAGTCGCTGCGTGGAAGAGTGTTACAGTTGGCTCATGAGGGTCATCTTGGTGTAATAGGAACAAAACAACACCTGAGAACAAAGGTTTGGTGGCCCGGAATGGACAGGGCCGCAGAAAGGGTCGTGAGGGCATGTCATGGTTGTCAGCTGGTAGCGAGACCAGATGTTCCAGAACCTCTGTCACCCACAGTGATGCCTGAAGGGCCCTGGCAAAACTTGGCCACAGACTTGCTTGGTCCTTTACCTGATGGACATTCGATCCTGGCCGTTGTTGACTATTACAGTAGGTACTACGAATATGCGATCCTCAAATCCACAACTGCAGAAAAAGTGATTGACAGTTTGGAGGACATTTTCAGTCGGCATGGACTTCCCTTAACAATCAGGTCAGATTGTGGGCCGCAATTCAAGTCCAGTCAGTTTCAAACGTTTTGTCAGGAAAACGGAATCCACCACATTAAAACAACCCCAAAGTGGGCGCAAGCAAATGGGGAAGTGGAAAGACAAAATGCATCACTTATGAAACGAGTACAAATTGCCCAAGCTGAAGGCCAGGACTGGAGAAAAGAGCTACGCAAGTATGTGACTGTCTACAGATCCATACAACACTCCACAACGGGCAAAAGCCCAGCAGAACTTCTTTTTCAGAGGAAGGTAAGAGGAAAGTTACCAGACATTGCAACACCCCACAGTGACCTGGAAGCTCGAGATAGGGACGCAGAGCAAAAAGGAAAAGCCAAAATATACACAGACAACAGACGGAATGCAAAGACATCTGACATAGAGGTTGGAGATCAAGTGCTTGTGAGGCAAGACAAAACCAACAAGTTCACAACAACATTTCACAGTACACCTCACAAAGTCATACACAGAGAAGGTAACAGTGTTATTGTTCAGTCACCCACTGGAGCGAAATATGCTCGGAACACAACATTCGTCAAGAAGTTTCATTCAATGGAAACACCAACAGTGAATCGTGATATGAAATGTGCTCAAAAGCCAAATCCAGATGAGGAACAAAAAGGAACTGCAGAGGAATGCAAAATGAACTGTGAAACAATTCAGGAAGAGGAACAAACTCCTAAACCGTGCAGGCCTCAGCGACAAATCAAATTGCCTGAAAGACTTAGAGACTATGTTATTGAGTGACTAATGAGATTCAAATGCTGAAAAAAAAAGAGAGGACATTTAAGTTTAAGGAGTTCCAAGGACGTTAAAGGTTATGTTAGTTAAAAAAAAAAAAGGTCCCAATAAATAGTGAGTTTATAACAGTAACAGAAAGCATTTTCATTCAATAATTTATGTACTGCTTAATACAGCTCCTGTATGTTCAAGAATAAAGTTAAACAAAACAAGCTTGTGCTAAATATCAATAAAATGGGGTCTATATTTTTTCCGCTTTATTTAGATAAACATGACATAAATAAATTCCTAAATAAATAATAAATATATTAAGTTTACATAAAAAGCCTTTACTGTTAAAAAATAAATATATATAAAACGCACGTCAGCTGTTTTTTAAGATCTCATTGCATAACGAACATAAAATACTATCGATCATATCAATCAATAATAATTCACAAAGAAAAAGAGAGTATACATGTAAAGTCAAATTAAACGGGGGAAGTAATTGTAGAGGTCTATAGTTCTGCCTACGGCTTCTTGCATTGTTTCAATATAAATATAATTTTATTCTTAAACTGTATAATATTAGGTTTCTTTTCAGATCACTTGCATTTAGGGATGTAAAACTTGCCTTAATATGAGAATATTTAATATAAAAAAATATGATTTGTGTCCGTGTAATTTTCCCAAAGTAAAATATAAAATTTACGACGTTTGTCTTTTTTATTGCAGAACAACTACTTGCATTGCATGTAAATATACACAGAGAATTTATCATCGTTATCATACAAATCTGAAAACAAGTCTATGACATTGCTACAGTTGCTGCAAGCTAGCCTCCCAACCATCTAAAGCAGATGTAGAATATCGTTCGCAAAAGAACCCGACTGTAAGTAGGCCTACATTAATTTTATTAGTATAACTCATAGAAAAATCACTTGCCGTCCAGCTGCATTTCGCGCCTCGGCAATGAAGTCATGTGCAAACAATGTGAAGCACATCTGTGGTCGGTCACACAGCTGCGTAGCTACACTAGTTTTACAAGTTAGTCATCTAACAAGTTAGTTTAAATTTGTAAGTGGATTGGTCTAATTTGAATCCAGAAAGTAAGACTGATTTTCCCTTGGTAAAATGTTGGTCAGACCAGTTCTTAACCACTTAACTGTCACCGTTCCGTATACGGGACGCCTAAGTTTTCTTTTAATATATTACAATTAAATCCTAATCTAATCATGACAAACTATATATCGTTGGAAAGGCTCCTAAATAGATATTTTACCACTGTTTGTCATTAAAAAATTATGTAGGAGCAGTAATAGATTAATTTATGACAAGAGTGCACCTCAAAACATATGGAGCTCTGACCTTTGTCACAAAAATTATATTAGTTTCCTTTTTTTTCCTATCACATGTTTTAGTAATCATCATATACTGTATATTATATATCATTTGAAAGCTTAAAAATCTCAAAATTCATCCTGTGAAAACCGTTTTGAAATCAGACATTGCGTTACCGTAGAAATGGACCTTAAAATATTTTAGTGGGCTCCTCCCCCTTAGTGCGGGGTGTCATTTTACAAAATGTATTAAAGGGGTCATATGATGCTGCTAAAAAGAACATTATTTTGTGTATTTGGTGTAATGAAATGTGTTTATGCGGTATAAAAGTTTAAAAAACCTCCGTTTTAGGTAGGCGTGGTTAACTCTTAAATTTTATAAAGAATATCTCTTTGGATTTGAGACTTTAGTCTTTGCAACTTTACAGATCTTCTTTATGCACCAAGAGCTTGTAACACTCCAAAGAGAAAGGAAAAATTTAAATTGCATCATATGACCCCTTTAAGGTCTTTTGGAATCAAAACTTTTTAGAATCTTGACAAAATATGTGTCGTCGGAAAGGTCTGAGTCTCAAGATTCCATATTTGGTGGTTATTTTGTGATAGGAGTAATACTGAGAGAGAAACTTTTACATATGTGACAGAAAAATGCATCAAAAAAAATGCAATGGGGTTTGGATGGCACCTGGTGGCTGTTTGTGGTATAACACCTAAACAAAATTGCATAGTAACCCCAATTTTTCTTTATATCAACTTCAAATTTGGAGCAGAACTTATTTAAACATATGGCTTTAATTTTATGCCAAATTTGGATTAAAACCCATTTTGTAAAATATAGACAGTTAAAAGAGATTAAGGCGTTTATGACTGTTGAAATCCAGTTAATAGGATCTGAATTAATTGGAGGAACTGTTGCGATTCAATATGCCATTACTCGAGTGAACACTATAGAGGGCACTGGATGACCATGAGAAACTACACAAGCGGCTCATTTAACTCTGTAAAGTATGTGAAATAATAGTATAAAAAATTATTTTAAAGAAGAAACAGTGTATTGATCCTTTAGACAAAACTTTAAAAAATCGTATTCACCCAGTTGAAAAAACCAGCATATGCTGGTTAGGTATGTTTTGAAGCATGGCTGCTGGTTTGAGCTAGTTTAAGCTGGTCCTTAGCTGGTCATGTTCTGGTCCTAAGCTGGTCCTAAGCAACTAGCTCCTGCTCAGGACCAGCTTAGGACCAGCACATGACCATCTTAAACCAGCTCATGACCAGCTTAAATCAGCTCAAAGCCATGCTTCAAAACATACCTAACCAGCATATGCTGTTTTTTCAACAGGGCAGAGACTCAAACAGAGCGAAAATATGCAATTTGGTGAAGATGCTGATACGTTTAAGGACAAAAAGTAAGCTGAAATTCTGATGTTTATGTAAATCAATGAGATCTTTATTTTATAAGAGTGTAGCAGATACATAAAATGTAAAATGATATACTTTCAATAATATTCCAATATTATTCCAATAAAATGTCTTAGTAAGATGATATTTAAATGATCAAAACATATAATGCAATGCAATTCAATGATGACTGAGATTAAATAAACACTCCTCGAAAGATCTGAGATGTTTTCGAGGCTTGGGAAGATCATTCCTCCACTAAGGAACAGTGAAAGTGAAGGTTCTGGAAACAAACGTTCCTCAAAACCCTGAAGATCATATTTAAGACACTGATTTTTCTAAAAAATGATGTCTGAATAATGAAGTAAAGCAAAGCTGCTACAGTCCAGTAAGTGTTTATCTTGACATATTACTATACTAACAATATCAAAGTTACTGTCACGTTTTGACAAAAATCAGTAAAGATTCGACAGCAAACAGACACGTGAAGCACAAGCTAAAGGTGGACATTTGTACAATTATATTAAAGACCTTTTACTTGATAAAAAAAAAAAAAGTCTAAACTGTCAATCAGATGAGAGTAGTACATGTAGTAGATTGTGTGTGACAGGTTTAACAGCAGGACATTTGTACAATTATATTAAAGACCTTTTACTTGATAAAAAAAAAAAAGTCTAAACTGTCAATCAGATGAGAGTAGTACATGTAGTAGATTGTGTGCGACAGGTTTAACAGCTAAGTTTGATCATGTTAATCATTTAGAGGCCTAGAAATTCATGGTGATACAGCATCTTTATAGGATTAATATGACTGAGCTTAATGAACAGTGACACGGTATGGTCTTCAGTAATGATCACTGGAGCTCAAATACTACTAAATCTAAAGATTCAAACAGTACACTGACCTATTTAAAAAGCTTTATTCTGTCACTGAAGCTTTGAGTTAACATTTAAGAGGAGTTGAAATTATTCACATTAATTCACAATACAATAGAGAACATCTTATAGAAGGTGCTTAAGTTAAATTGCATTTAATCTAAGATGTGCTTACATCATAACTGATATTTAACAAACGAGGTCATACAGGACGACAGCATTAATTTCTAATGAACATAATTCATACAGTCACAGACAGAAAACACACTGTCTAAAGGAATGAAGACCTATCTATATTATCAAACATCAGTACAGTATGTGTGCTGTGCAACGTGCCAAAAACTACCATGATAATGCCATGGTATTCCTTAAACATGAATATGACAACCGGTCAGTATTAGAGATGAACATCAGATCTCATGATCCTTATAATTCAATGCATGTCAATTATATTTTCAATCACAGGAACCATCATTTCAATCCAACGGTCACTGTAGCCCAGCAGATTCAACATGTTTATTGTAAGAAGCGATACTGAGGAACATGATGAGGAAGATGAATGAAGATGCAGAAACACGTTACGGTCTGGTCACAGTTACTCTGTGTCAAGCGCAGCAGCAGCGCTCCGGTCGCCTTCATTCTTGGCTGTCATGTGCAGTTTCTGGTGTTTCTTCAGAGACGACTGGTCACTGTATTTCCTGTCGCAGTGCGTGCAGCAATACAGCTTCTCTTTGGAGTGGACCAGCTCGTGTCTCTTGAGGTGTCCGGCCCGGCTGAAGCTCTTATCGCAGTGCGAGCAGGTGTGCAGTTTCTCTCCGGTGTGTGTTAATTGGTGCAGTTTCAGGCTACTGGCCACCGTGAAGCGCTTCCCGCACTCACCACAGCCGTACGGCCTCTCGCCGGTGTGCATGCGCTTGTGGATGGTCAGATGCCCGGCCTGGCTGAAGGTCTTGGTGCACAGCTCGCAGCGGTACGGCTTTTCGCCCGTGTGGATGCGGTAGTGTGTTTTAAGGTCGCCCATACCGATAAACCTCTTCCCGCACTGGCCGCAGGCGTACGGCTTCTCTCCGGTGTGGACTCTCTGGTGGCTCCTCAGGTTTCCGGCGTTGGTGAAGGTTTTGCTACATACGGTGCAGGTGTATGGCCGCTCGCCCGTGTGGGTCCGTAGGTGGACTTTAAGCTGGTTGTGTTCGTTGAATCGTTTGCCGCAGTGCGGGCAGCAGTACGGCCTCTCGCCTGTGTGGATCCTCTTGTGGATGCGCAGCTGGCCCTGGTGGCCGTAGCTCTTCCCGCACAGGTTACAGGCGAAGGGTCTTTCTCCCGTGTGCGTGCGCTGGTGGTTCTTCAGGAGATCGGCTCGGTCGAACCCCTTCCCGCACTGGCCGCAGATGTGCGTCTTCTCCGAGCTTTGAGATCTCAAGTGGATGCTGAGCGATGCTTCGTGCTTGAAGCTCTTGTTAAACTGACCGCAGGAATAGTTTGGTCTCAGCTCTTGTGAGTTTGGCGGCGACGCCGTCATATGAAGCAATCCAGAAGATCCCTCATTGGACAGTCTGTCTGGATTGGACTCTTCATCAAAGATGATATCGGGCTCCGGTGACTCCCGTACTTCCTCCTCCAACGCTGCATGTCTGCTGCACTCACCCTCATCAACATGATAAAGGTGTTTGTCTGACACTACCGTTACTTTAACATCACAGTCATTAGAGTTGATCTCTGGCTCTAAAGGACGTTTAAATAAAGCGTGACGTTCAGAGTCAAAGTTCTCGTTAGTATCCTCTATTTTTATTTCTTTACTGGTGTATTTAGGAGAAGCATGAGGATTTGAAAGGTCAACGGCACATCCATCCTCTGTGTCTGGGTCAGCCTTTACAAATAAACATGTTGTTGCACAATCCTTGTTTAGTTGGAACGGCGTGACATCTGTGGTTTGTGATTTTGTACGGCTGCACAGTAAATCAGCCATCTTCGTCTGATCATTGTATTCACTCATTTGAGCAGATGAAGTCTGGCTGAAAGTGTCTCTTGAAAAGTCAAGCTGAGAGTTTTAGCTTTTAGTTTTAATTACTTTTTCTTATATGTAAGTCGCTTTGGATAAAAGCGTCTGCTAAATGACAAAGTAAAAAAGTAAAGATTTCAGTTTTACATACATTCTAAATCATAAACATCGTAAAGACATCTTCTAAACGTCTATTTGACATCTGATAGGAAACGTCCTATAGACGTATTGCAGATGAGCAAACACTCTAAAAAATACGTCTTGCAGATGTAAATGCAGACGTCAAATAGACGTCTCCGAGATGTACCTGTGCTATTACGTCTGCAAGATGTCTATTAAAGATTGCTTGATCTGGAAAGCATCTGCTGTGTACAAACATCTGATAGACGTCTTTAAGATTTCAGTTTTACATACATTCTAAATCATAAACATCGTAAAGACATCTTCTAAACGTCTATTTGACATCTGATAGGAAACGTCCTATAGACGTATTGCAGATGAGCAAACACTCTAAAAAATACGTCTTGCAGATGTAAATGCAGACGTCAAATAGACGTCTCCGAGATGTACCTGTGCTATCAGGGTTATGACAGAGTGAATTGTTTTTTTTAAGAAACTAATACGTCACCCCTTGTCACACGTTGTTATTTACATTTACTTGTATATCAGATGTGTTTGCAAATGATAATCACAGAAGGGATAACTCAAATGCACAGCTCTTATGTACAACATTATCATTTGCACGCATTAACCAAAAAACAGCGCAGTGTATACTAACTATGACATCATTTTCCAAATTGCACGCACCTGTTTTGACATAATTTGTCCTTTTTTCTTTTGCACAAAGTCGTTTTCTCAGATCTTCATTTTCGGACTCAATTCGCTGAATTTTAAGCTGATACTCGCCGACTGTTTGCTCCACTGAATCCAGAACGTCACTGACCGTCGCGCGGAAGATTTCATTTAATGAAGATTCAAGAAAGGCTTTTAAATCGCCAAACTTCGCCATTTCAACAAATACACGGAGCCGCAGTGACCGCGAAACAACCCTGAGCGCCGCCGGACTCACCGCTGCCCCCGCAGGATTGGAAGAAACTTACAGCCGCTCTGATTGCTTGTTTCGATATGCTTTTCAGCGATTCTCCAACGAGTCAAAGTTCTCGTTAGTATCCTCTATTTTTATTTCTTTACTGGTGTATTTAGGAGAAGCATGAGGATTTGAAAGGTCAACGGCACATCCATCCTCTGTGTCTGGGTCAGCCTTTACAAATAAACATGTTGTTGCACAATCCTTGTTTAGTTGGAACGGCGTGACATCTGTGGTTTGTGATTTTGTACGGCTGCACAGTAAATCAGCCATCTTCGTCTGATCATTGTATTCACTCATTTGAGCAGATGAAGTCTGGCTGAAAGTGTCTCTTGAAAAGTCAAGCTGAGCCACAACACAGTCTTCATCTTCTGCAACACACACACACACACACACAAAAACATCTAGTTACTGGCCAACATGAGATGTCCAAAATAAATCATGAGTAACAAAGAAAAACACGCTGATCTCCGAAGAGTTAAACTCTTGCAGAGGATTAAAATAAGAGTTTACATAAAACCATAACTGGTTGAAATACATAACAGATTATAACAGACAGCAGTTTCGTTTGATGGATTAAATGTTGCTGTCTGTTCCCAGATAGCACATGCACGTCTGCAAGATGTCTGTTAAAGATCTCTTCATCTGGAAAGCATCTGCCGTGTACAAACATCTGATAGACGTCTTTAAGATTTAATAAGTAGATTTAGAATAAGTATCGCTTTTTATTTCTCCTCTTTCCTACTACTTGTATCATTTGCACGCATTAACCAAAAAACAGCGCAGTGTATACTAACTATGACATCATTTTCCAAATTGCACGCACCTGTTTTGACATAATTTGTCCTTTTTTCTTTTGCACAAAGTCGTTTTCTCAGATCTTCATTTTCGGACTCAATTCGCTGAATTTTAAGCTGATACTCGCCGACTGTTTGCTCCACTGAATCCAGAACGTCACTGACCGTCGCGCGGAAGATTTCATTTAATGAAGATTCAAGAAAGGCTTTTAAATCGCCAAACTTCGCCATTTCAACAAATACACGGAGCCGCAGTGACCGCGAAACAACCCTGAGCGCCGCCGGACTCACCGCTGCCCCCGCAGGATTGGAAGAAACTTACAGCCGCTCTGATTGCTTGTTTCGATATGCTTTTCAGCGATTCTCCAACGAATATTTCTGCATTCTGCTAACAGTTATCAGTAGCAGGCTAGCAGCAGCAGTTTTACTTCAGATAATAACACGTTCACTCCTTTTAATTTTTTGCTCTTTTGTTAGTGTTGACTGCTTTTATTGTCCTCATTTGTAAGTCGCTTTGGATAAAAGCGTCTGCTAAATGACTAAATGTAAATGTATGTATCCTTAAGACCTTAAGACTAACGACAGCATTTGTTCTGAAAGCCATTCACGAGTCTACCCACATGAAAAAAATACTATAGTAATTTATAGTAAATACTATAGTGTTTTTGAACCATACTATAGTAAAGTGTATTATACTGTATTTACAACCCTTTGTTAATTAATGCTACAGCATACTGTAGTATTAACTATAGTGAACTAATAAACTGTGATAAATACTGTAGTATACTTTAGATTGTGTACTACAGTAAAATGTAGAGTACTGTAGTATAATATACCCTATAGTTGTAGAAAACGTAGTACAGTATTGGGTAAAGTAATTTGTTTATATTACTATAGTTGTTATGTTACCACAGCAACTATAGAATTACCACAACAAATTAAAGTATGCTATAGTATGGTTCAAAAACACTATAGTATTTACTATAAATTACTATAGTATTTTTTCAGTCTCTTTTTGTTAGTCTTTGTCTCTGGATCAATGACATGACAACACAATTCATACAAAACTATCCATACAGTGACTATTCTGTGGTTAACATTTTTGTGAGTTATACGCTATACTGACATATTGTAGGATAATGTGTTGCTCTCCAGAGTCTTGGGACTGGCCATCAGATGTTTCCCCGCTCAGAGAACAGCGGTGAGTGTGGATGGATGGATGGATGATGGATGGATCAAGTCCTTACAGGTACCAGTTTTACCTGCTGACTGAGGAATGTGGGCGGGGCGCTCAGGTGTCAGGTGTCTTTCGCTTTTGCCAACAGCCAATCGTATGGTCATTTTCCTGTAGACGCGCATCGGTTTTCAATTCGTAGTATTTTCACAGATGTCTCGCAGAAAAAAAAGCCGGTGAGTGAAAATTGTCCGGTGCTGAATGAGCGCGGGGTTTTGTTTTTTTTTGGCGTTGACTTTTGTGTGTCATTTGAACCAAAGCTGTACTTGCAAAATGTAAAAAATGCTGTTGGACTTGTTTGCGAAGGTTTTTTTTTTTAAAACGACCGTCGCATCAAGTCGGGCAGCACGGATTTAATGAATTCATTTTATAGATCTGATTCACGTAAAGATGAAGCTGAAAAGAAAATCAATTCTGAAAGATTTGTTTTTAATTCATTTGCTCTCTTGTTTGTGTGTAGCCTAATAACACTTTTCAAATGTAGCTACCTTTTCATAGACTGTCCATTTAACTGCTGTGACCCGAATGCATAATAATATCATGCTTTTTGTATCATCTCAGTCCCCTTTAACTTTTGAACTTGTATGAATGTCATGAATAGTGTTTAAAGTGTTTTGTTATGTTATTGTTTAAACACATTCTGAACTTCACAGATGATCAGATGAAGATTAAAATGTGTTGTAATGAAACCGTTTATGTCACTGGACTGTGAAAGTGTCAGAAACATGAGACGCCTTAGGAGGCATTTTCATATTCATGTTTTCTACAGCACAGGAAGTGTGAGGTGATGTGAGGAGCAGCAGGAAGTGATGTGCTGATCTATAATCTATTACTGTTGGAGGGTCAGTTCATGTTTCATCTCAGTGTCTCTCTGTCAGGCTTAGATTGTGTTTATCTGTGCTAATGGTGATTATAGTGATTCTAACTGCAAGGGGGAAAAAACTCACTGAGTTTCACTGTCTTGCAGTATCTGTCTTCGTCTCGCCCAGCACCCTCAACTGTCTCTCTCTCTGTGTTTGTCTGTCTCACTTTCTCTCTCTCTCTCTCTCTCTCTCTCTCTGTCAGTGGAGGTTGTTTGTGGTCAGGAAGTGTAAATGTGCCTCAGTGCTGCTTGAGCAAAAGTCATTGCAGAGCACATCCGCTCTGTGTGTCTTTAAAAGAGTACAGAAGGCTTCACTGAAGGACACGGCTGAGGTGAGCTCCATTCTCTACATTTGTTTAAACCATCATCACATTAGATATTATAAATCAAGTCATTGATTTAGTCGTGTGCTGTTTGTTAGGAGAATGTGAACATGCAAACCAGGCATGTTGCTTATGGAGGACTCCATTGCCTTATAAATGACATGTAAATAATTTATTGCTCATTTCTGTGTGTGGTTTTGACAGACTGTTTCAGCACTGCAAACAGTGACTCTGATCCTGTCGTTTGGACTTTTATCATGAGAAGTGTATAATTATCAAATAAACCTGATTCTACAGATGCTCTTTGCAGTGTCAGCATGATGGTTTATATTGTCTTTATTTATATTGCCTTTGTTGTGTAAATGCTGAACACAAGTAGCTGTTCCACGGATTGTCTATTAAATTGACTGAAATTCATGTTTCAGCGGTCTCATGCACATGGCTGTAAAGTGTCGTGGTTTTGTGGTGTCATAGCTGCGTAGATATGATGGCTAATGAAAGGGTTTTATCTCTACCGATGCACTTTAGACAGAAGTGAACATTTACATACTCAAAATGTTTGATTATATGCAGTACTGAATGATCATGATATAGATGTAATTTGTTTTCTGAAATCTCAGGCTCTTGGAGTTTGTTGGTTGAAGATTTTGGTAGGTGTGGGAGGAAACTGTGTTTCTGAGCGACAATCTCAAAATGGATGCCCTGCTCATCACGGAGGACAAAGACTGACACGAGCTCTTCCTAAACTGTTCATGATGACCATCTGAATGAGAAGACTATGGAGGATATTGAAGACTATCTGGAATCTGAACCTTACCTGGAGGCCATGCAGTACATAGAGAGGATGAAACAGGAGAATGAAAGTAGCCTTGAGAACGAGACCATCCCGAGGAAGAGCTGCGTGGGTCTGGACGTGCCAGATAACGGTGTGTCTTTGTACCCCGTCACTGTTCCCTGTGCTCCTCTCTCTTACGCTACTGTGCAATGGGATGCCCCAGAAACGCCCACAGAGCCTCCCGGATCATCTGAGACTGAACTAGACTCCATTACCGAGCCAAGGATCGACTGGACATTGGATCTACCATCTGCAGACCTCCATCATATCACAAATCAGGACGCCATTGTTGATTTCTTACCTGAAGCCGAGTCACAACTAGACGTTAAACTTGTGTCTTCCCAGGTATGTCAGTAAAACCGGAAGGGCCTTGTGGTTTTTCTGGTAGACATGTTCTTGTATCAGTAACCAGTGACCTGCTTTCTGAATACTGTGCGTGTGTGTGCACTTTTTAAAGTGAGTTGAACAACTTTCAAAACGTACAGTATAGTTTGTTTGAATGAATTACAATATCAGATTGAGTTGGCTTAGAATTGACCAGAAGAAAAAGATGGCAAATGTTTATTTGTTTGAGTGAAATTAATGTGTTCTAAAGTTTTTTTCCCTCCAATAGACATGTGATGCTCAGAATTCAGATATACAAACACAACTGGCACTTTTACATGAAGAGCCCCCCATGTCATTTGCAGATGTCAATGGTAACGTTTTAAGTCTAAATTATTTGATCATGTTTTTTGTAAGGTGATGTGATTTGAATAATAGAAGTGCTTTAAATCATATTGGGGTGTGGTTGTAATTGTGTGACAGTTGTGAAATGGCCATGTGTTCGTCAGCTGTGAATGTTGAACTGTTTGCTGACTCAGTCGATTTCGCTTCTTCTTCATGAGTTTTGTTGCATAACCTTTAAAGGGGTCATATGAGGCGGTTTCAATTTTTCCTTTCTCTTTGGAGTGTTACAAGCTCTTGGTGCATAAAGAAGATCTGTAAAGTTGCAAAGACTAAAGTCTCAAATCCAAAGAGATATTCTTTATAAACGTTAAGTGTCAGCCACACCTACCTAAAACGGCTCGTTCTAACACGCCCCCACATACCTATGTCACTATGTGGGAAGATTTGCATAACGCCAAATGTTCACGCAAAGAAAGAAGGCGTAACTTTTATTCTCGCTGTAGTATTGTTGCCGCCGCCGCCATGTCGTGAAGGCGCTGTGTGCTTCGTTGTGAAAGCGAAACTACTTTGTTTGGCCTTCCAAAAGAGGACGATATCGCTTCGTCATGCCTGGAGCTGATCCGTGCTTGTCGCTGAGGAAATACTTCAACTTCGCGCTGTCATCGCCGGATCGGCTTTCACCGTGGAGTCCAGCCCGGGCTCGTCACATGTGGTTGCCGCAGGCATCACAATATGGTAAGGGACGTAACATTTCCGTCACACGCTTGAGGAATTCGGCCAATCACAATGCACTGGATAGCTGGCCAATCAGAGCACACCTCGCTTTTTCAGACCGATGAGCTTTGTAAAAATCGACGCGTTTCAGAAAAGCGGGGCATAGAGGAGAAACAATAATGTACAGTATGTGGAAAATAATGTGTTTTTTGAACCTTAAACCGCATAAACATTTCATTACACCAAATACACAAAATAATGTTCTTTTTAGCAGCATCATATGACCCCTTTAAAATTTGGCCGCTTGCACATCAGTTTCCCATCAGCCTTTACATTCCTAGAGGTTTGGACTTGGTGTTGTTTTGTAGGATCTTTTGTTGTTCTTAGAAATCAATATGGCATGGAAGTATTTATCTGTGCTGTTTTCCATCAGATTCCAGAGAAGATGTGACTGAAGAGCATCCTGAACCTTCTGATGATATTCAGATCTTTATGGACGCACGAGACTCAGAGATTCGACTGGGTCAAATCAGCTCACAGTCACATGAAGAGAAGGAACCTGACACGTTAGTCCTTCCCCAAATGACTTTTGCCCATGAGGAAACCACAGATTCAGGCAGTGAAAAGCAAACAAGAGAGTGGACTGAGACCGAAGCAAACGGAGAATCATCAGACGCAAGAACCGATATTCA